TCCTCGTCCCACTTCATATCGGGTGCTCTACTTTATTTATCCTCAGACATGCAGTTCTTATTCAATAAGCCTCTGCCATGAGGCTCCTCCTGCCTTGAAGATCTTAAAATTGCAGTTTGGTGTCTGTTTCTCTCTGTCCCTGGATGGCTTCTATCGTACCCTCCCCACAGCACGCACAGACTCATCTCGCACAGACTGTGGTGTCACCAGGAGAAGCAGCAGCTGTCTTATTCATCACTAGGGCTGGCCCAGGGCTGTGAGCAGAGAGAGCAGGATGTGGGTGCTCAGTCTTCCTCTCCAGGCTTCAGTCTCCTCACTTTAATAAGAAGCAAATATGCTTTTCTAATGTCTTAGCCCTTGACAGGAACTGTTATGCTTTGGATGAAAAGGGAGGTAGTAATAAACAGTCATTGGAAAAAATCCATCTACGGGAAGAAACTAATCTTAAGCCTCTTCTTATATAAGAAATTATGGACTGCACAGGACATTTGAGTTCATAGATTTGGGTATGGAAACAGAAACATAGAATCGAGTTTCCCAGAAATGTCACCTTCACATCCCTTATATTTTAAAAAGTCAGATAGTTAAGAGATTGGGATGAGCAGGTACAATGCAATCTTATAATTCTTTCCCAGCACATTCACTGAATTTGGCACATGAAAGTGCCTTCCATTATTCATTTTGTTCATTCTTACTGAGTGCCTGCTTTGGGTCTGGTATTGGGCGGGGTTGCTCAGGGTACAGGACCTATTTTCAGGGACATGTCCCAGGCTTCTTGTGAAGATAGAGGAGGAGTAAACAGAACATGCAATCCACTAGGGACCACTGTGGAGAACAGACGCATTTATAATGGACTTAGGTTGTCTCCCACAGAGCCTCCTATCTGCTGTGTATAAAGGAAGACCTGCTGCCCTTTGCCCTTTTCTGTTTAAGTAAAGGCTTTGTAGTGTGGTCTGGAACATTTGTGCCACCACTGAGAGAATTCAAAGTCATGATAAACTATTTGTGGCAATAGGTGTATTCGTGGGTGGGGAGTTGGAAGAATTTCGACTAATTTATCAACAAGTACGGTAAGAAATCACTTTTTTTCCTACTCTGAGTAGAATTTTGGACCCGACACAAAGTACATTTTTGTTGGTCACAAGCAAAGAACCTTTCTGGTACTGTTTATTTGCAAGCAACTCTAGGAATTCTTAAGATGTCAAGGGAAGAAGCGGAATGTTTCTTATTTTAAAACAAAATGATTAAAGGCTGGAGAAATAGTGAAGGGTTTAAGGTGCTTGCTTGCCTCGTATGTGTGTATCAGTGTGGAGGTGTAGGAGGAAGGGAAGAAGACTGGAGGTAGAATAGGAGCAAAGATTCTTCCCAGTTAGATTTCACTTAGCTCTCCTGGTCTATTTTTTTTTGTTGGGCTCTCCGAGAGGGGCAGAGGAATTGAACCCAGTTCGGCCGGGCTGGCTGCACGCAAGGTAAACATCTTACCACTGTGCTACCGCTCCAGTAGCTCCAGTAGCTGGAGCGATAGCACAGCGGTAGGGTATTTGCCTTGCACACAGCCAACATGGTCGACCCGAGTTCGATTCCTCCGCCCCTCTTGGAGAGCCCGGCAAGCTACCGAGAGTATCTCGCCCGCTCGGCAGAGCCTGGCAAGCTCCCCGTGATGTATTTGATATGCCAAACACAGTAACCACAAAGTCTTCAATGGAGACATTACTGGGCCCGCTCGAGCAAATTGATGATCAAGGGGAGGGCCTTTACTTTTACTGCTGGTCTATACTCTATTTACCCCCACCCCTGTATCACAGCTGCTGAGTTTCCCACCATTCTCAGATATGTCTCCCCTTTTCTGGTTGATTCTTGCTTGCCACCCCCCAAATATAGACTCTTCCATTATTTTTGTTTTGTTTCATTTTTTTTTACCATATTCAAGCGATAGCACAGTGGTAGGGTGTTCGCCTTACAAGCGGCCAACATGGCCGACCCGAGTTCGATTCCTCCGCCCCTCTCGGAGAGCCGGGCAAGCTACCGAGAGTATTCGATATGCCAGACACAGTAACAACAAAGTCTCCAATGGAGACGTTACTGGGCCCGCTCAAGCAAATCGACGATCAACGGGAGGGCCTTTACCTTACCTTTTACCATATTCAATAGTGCTCAGGGCTTACTCCTGACTCTGTGCTCAGGGATCACTCCTGGTGGGCTTGGAGTGATCCAGCGCAGGTCGGCTGCATGCAAGGCAAACACCCAACCTGCAGTTCCATTTTTGTACCCCAGGAGCACTGTGTTCATACCTCTTCATAGCACACAGCCTTGTTTCATAACATTGGTTTGTGAGGAGTGGGTCAAGGGTACATGGAATAATTTTTATTAGCATGGGGTTTATGTGCATGGCAGTTAGATAGTAAGGCTCAATTATGCTACATAATTAGTGACATAATTTCAGGGCAAGTTAGCCATTGTCTCATTTTCTTCTCTATAAAATAATAATAATTTTCATATCTACTGCATAAAATGTTTAGCAACACAAATAAAATTAGACAACAGATACACAGAAACACACATCCAGAACTAAATTCTGGAACTACTCAATGAATGTCACCTGATTTGATGAAGTTTTCAGTAAGTAATCATGAGCTGAATAAATTTCTTTCAGAAGAAAATTTATTATTTCTCATTTTTTTCTTTCCTTTTTTCTGGACTATAACTGCATTTTCTTTTCTTTATTTCACCATGCTTAAGTAATCCAGATTCCTAACATTTAATTAGTGCAAATATTTATAAGTCATCCAGAGTTTTAAACTTTAAAATTCTTTGGTCCATGATGGCAATTAATAGTAAACTGTATGCAGAGGTAAAATTCATAATGCCTTAATGTAATCCAATTAAGTGTCCAGCTGTCGATGTAACTGTCATCTTTTGTATATCATCCAATCCCAGCTTTCATTCTGGAATTATTCCATATATATTTTCTAAATGGATTTCCCAAAGTGTTTTCCAGAAAAGGATACCAGGCTCCTGTGTCCTCAGCCCAGCCTTCACCATCACAAGCATCACCATTCTGACAGCAGTTAGCCCTGCAGAATATGAAACGGCAGAATAACCAAGTCATTTTGTATTGGCCCAGAGAGATGTTCAACTCTGGTGCACAGGATTGTTTTTCATTTTGGACAAGTCCCATCCCCTGCCCCCCCTCCCCCCCCCCACACACACACCTGCTCTCTGGAAGGAAGTATAATGGGGAAGCAATGAGCAAATGGCTTCCACAGAGACTATGGGCAACTTTGAGTTCCCCCCACCTGAAGCTCCTTGGGTAAATGCATGGAGGACACAACTTCAAACTGCTCTACCTGGAAGAAATGAGGAAAACGTTGGGCTTCCTTCTCTCTCTCTCTCTCTCTCTCTCTCTCTCTCTCTCTCTCTCTCTCTCTCTCCCCCTCCTTCTTTTTTTTTTTAAGCAATTATAGAGCGAATTTTGAGTTATTTCAACAGGCCAAAAAAAAAAAAAAAAACCAAATCAGACTGCAATGAAAAGCCAGCCTCCAGATGTCCTTCTCCGGGCCAGCAGCGATGAGGTGAGTGAGCGCAGGGCATATCTATAATTCAACTCTGGAATATTTCTCTTAATAATTAATCGAGTGCCACAAAAGGAGGAGGCCCAACAGGGCCTTCCAACAAAGCTGCCGGCCGAGGACAAACAGTGGCCGCATGGGTGCCAGCTGAATCGCCCAAGGTTGAAATTGCTCGAGCAATCCCGGCCATTGCTTGCTTGGTCCATCAGGGGGAGCCGGGAGGAGGGCCCGAGGTGCAGGTGCCACCTGGGCTTCCAGGTGTGCGTGCGTGTCAGGGTGCTCTTTTCCCTGCTAACCCTTTTATCTTCCCCCAGTGCTGTGGTGGGAACTTCCTCTTTACAGCGATGCCCAGAGGCATTTCCTGCACCTATCACCTAAAGAGCAAGCTAGTGGTCCCTCCTGGGTGATGAGGACACCGGGCACCGCGGGCGCACTCGAAAGTTTTCAGTGGGTAGCGGTAGAGCCCTGATCGCCCAGAGAGACCCCTCTAAGGAGCCAAATCTCTCGCTGGGATCTCCCCCCCCCACACCCCCCTCGGCAACAGGTTCTCCCTTTCTCCCTTCGAGTCCCCTCTCCCCCAGCTCCCGCCTCGGATTTGCCAGCAGTCAGAACCCCCAAACTCTTCCCCGTACCCGGACCTGCGCCTCGCGGTGGGGTGGGGCGGGTGCCCATTCCGGCCACCCTCGTCGCGCTCCAGCCGAACTCGGGTTTCAAGTCGGGCTTCTCGGTGCGTGTCAGAAGCCGGACTCCGGACCGGGCCAACAAACTCTCTGGGTGCCAAGGGGAGGTGGAGACCGAGGCGGACCCTCGGGAGACGCACCAGACTCCCCCATCCCGCAGCCCAGAGAGGACGCCGGAGGAGAGAAAATCACCGGGGGGAGCAAAGGGGGGGGGGGAGTCCTGGAAAAGACCTCGGTGTGGGGGGGGGAACCCACAAAAAGCCACCCTGGGGTCGTGCCTGTACCTACCGTCGAGCTCCCCTGTCCTCTCCCCGTCTCCCCCCACTTCCCCGATCTTCCCGATCTCTCTTAATTAAGCGCTCCCGCTCCGCCGGCCGGACCCCTCCCCGGGTCGACTCCAGCTTGGACACCTGAGCTCGGGGTGGGGTCGCCGCCCGGCGCCCGCGCGGCTCTTCCCGCACCCCCAATTCCCAGCCCCCTACCCCCCACCCCCCCCCAGCCTCGGCGGCGTCGTGACTGTGCCCGCCCCGGCGAGCGCCCGCCACGCCACACCCGCGGCAGGCCCTGGCCCCGCCCCCGGCCGCCGCGCGTTCGCGGCCCGGGGAGGCGTGTGCGGCTCGGCAGCCCGCGCGAGCGCCAGAGGGATGGATCCTGGAGGAGGAATTCGGGCTTAACAAGTGATCGCTGCTGTCTAGGATTTTGCTGCTTGCTTCTCCTTTTGTTTTTTTCTTTTTTTGTTTCTTCTGGGGAACCTTGACTTCCTTTCTCAGAAGAGCCCTTCTCTGCTGAAAACTCCAGCGGAATCAGGAGTCTTGCAGGGGGGAAGGAGGGGGTCTTCCCTGGGGCAGCCCCGCTCCCCAATCCCGGACTCAGCACCTAGGACTCTGGCTCTCCCTCCCGCCGCCCTACCCCGCGACGGCCAAGTGAACTTGTTCCGCGGATATTTTGGAACCTCCACCTGCCACACCGGAGCGATTCCTTTTAGCGCCCCCTCCTCCCCCAAGATCATTCTTCCTTTCTTCCAGCTGTTGCAGACTGGGGGGGTTGGAAGGACCAAAAAGCAACCTCGCCCCCCCTCCTTCACATACACACCCATTCTTTCTTTTTATTTTGCACCCCTCCTGGGAACGGTAAGTATGAGACCGCTCTTATCTTGCTTGCACGCTCCTCTTTTGGCTGTGAAGAAGCAGTGGGCATTTGAGGGATAAATAATATCGGGAATGTGACAGAAGGGCATGAATGGAAGGCGGTTAAAAATAACCAGGAGGTGGGAGAAGGGAGGTGTAGATGCTGCGCGGCGCTCCGGGGGGTAGCAGTTGTTATTTTCCCAATCCTGGGGATGGGGTGCGTGCGCCCTGCTTAATGTGCGGGAGCGGGAACCTGGGTCTGGAGGCGAGGGTGCGATTAAAGATGTCGTTTCCCCCCCACCCCGCGAGGTGGGGTTTAGATTTAGCATCGTTTGCTTCATCCCAGACTCACCGGTTTTTCGTTCCTCTGGGAACAGCTGGTGATCGGGTTGGAAACGCTGCCTCTCCCAACATTTGGATCTGCGTGCATTTTCCGAGCATTTGAGCAACACACGGGGACCGACCGTGTAAATGGCGTGCATTGAAGTGTGTGTTTCTCATGGTGTTGGCCTTCCTGGTTCTCTCAGTCGCTCCTTCTCTTTCTCGTTTTCTCTGATAAGGCTCCGATGTCACCCTAAAACAGTTGCAAGAATTAGCTCTGAAATCTAACAGCCTTGTTGTTGGGGTGTGTTTGTGTGTGTGTGTATGGGGGGGGGGTGGAAAGAGGAGGGGCTGGATGTTAGATGGTTGGTTGGGGGTTTAGGGGTTAGGGAATAGGTAGTCTGCACATTCCTATTAGTTTAATGGTGAAAGAAAGGGAAATTTCCCTGCAAAGGGCTTCTCCCTAAAAGACTCCTGGGAGTCGGTCTGGATATATTCTCTCACGAATACCTTGAGAGGGAAGAGGTATGTAAAATCGTTCAGGTTTTCTGGAAGGAAGAATTTTTCTTTCCTTTCCCCCTTTTTACTATTTTTAAAGATCGGGAATAGTGAGGTAACTGGTAACCAATTACAAGGAAGATAATTTAGTTTTTGTAGGGTGGAGGAAGGAGTTGGATACACCTTAATAGGTTTGAATAAATTGATAAATAAACAAATTAGAAATTATTTGGTGCAGACTGAAAGAGTTTAGGTTTAGAGTTTCAGCCCAGAGGGTGGTGAATCTCAAGATGCTCCTAATATTTGACCTTTTGATAATGGTTTGGGCTGGCAAGGGGTGTTCATAGTCTACAAAGGCACAGGCACTTTGATAATGCTGAGGCTTTGTTTAAATAGTGTATTACAACTCCTTTGAGGGAATTGGAAAAGCAACTGAGCAAACTCTCAGGCTCTGTGGTCTGCAAAAATGTTTCAAGGATGCTGGGCTGATCCTCCAATGGTGCTTGTAACTTGAGGGTGGTGTTGTAAAAGGAGATTTGGAATCCTCCTGCAGGTCACCATTTTAGAGTGGCAGATGGTTGGGAACCTGGCAAAGAAAAGTGTGTGTCATTTGAGATACCCTCACAGGTGTATTTTCTGGGTTTTGTGTCCCAGTTTAATTCTTGTCTTCAGGTTATGCATGATTGGAAAGGGATAGATTACTGGGATGCCCTCTGTGTACCCATTTCCTGCTTGTCACAAAACTCTGGTGTGTTTAGGTTTCTAGGCTGATACTATTCAGCAAGGAGCAGCAGGTGGTTAAGAGCTGAATCCCTCTTAATGGCTCCAGAAAGCCATTTCTCTTATGTTCCCCAAGTGCTTCCAGGAATAGAAGCTGGTAGATGCCCTGTATTCTAGCTGTCATTATCCTCCTCAATTCTCTGGGCCACACTTTCTGCATTCTTGGAAGTTCTGAATGAAGGAACCAAGAGGAGAAAGGGGATTGGGGCAGGAGTGTTTGCAGCTTATGTGACTGAGAAGATGCATTAGCTGGACTTAGGTAGAGAAAACTGAGAAAAGGAAGAGACAAGTCAGAAATACCAGGCAACAGTGAAGATGGTGGGCTGTGACGAAAAGGCAATCAGGAACTAGGAACAGGGCAGTAAAGGTGAGCAGAGAGAGAATAAAGAAAACTGTTGCGATATTGAGGCTATTGATTAAATTATAGGAGAGAAGGTGTGATGGGCTGCAAAGAAAGTCCATACAACCTAGGTTTAAACACATAAAGAGATAAATCTCTGAGAAGTGTGTGGGAGGGGCACTTAGGTGAACATAGAGGAGTTGCGGGGAGAGATGGTTATTAGAGATGTAGAAACTGGGATTAGCTCCTAGGCTGTGGGTGGGAGGGAGTGTTCTGGAGTCTGGGGAACAGAAAAACAACAACAGGGATATGCTTCAGAGATCGCCAACTAAATGCAGGCCCTCAGCTAGTCTCAAAATGTCCTGGTTATCCCCACGCTGTCCTTCCCCTACTTTCCATGGTGGCAGAGGCACACACACACTTGGAGGTGTGTAGGCTGGAGTGATAGTAAAGTGCATAGGGCTCCTTCCTTGCATGCAGCTGACCTGGCTTTGATTCTTGGCAGCTCCTGAGCCTTTAGGAGTTATGGCTGAGTGCAGAGCCAGGAATAAGCCATGAGCACTGCCGGGTGTGGCTCCCAAACCAAAATAAATAAATAAAATTTAGGTTGCTCTCAAGTTATTAGTGGCTATCTATATTTATTGATGTTCATTATGTACACACAGCTCTATGCAGTGCTCTTAACATGTATTATTTTTTTTTTGAAAGTGAAATGGGGTTGTATAGAATCTATACTTCGTAGATGAAGTGCAAACTTGTTGAAGTGGCAGATCCTGGATTCAAGAAAACTGTCCTTTCTGACTTCTCTGATCCTGAATCAAGATGGGGTGGGGGAAGGCTGTAAATTCAGCAATACTGTTTGAAGAGACATTTTTAAAAAATACCTTAGAATCAGTGAAGGATGGGAGCTGCTGTGAAGTGACAGCGTAACTTTGTATGGCATCAAGAGTAACAATGTGAATTAAGTCCTGGTGAAGGGAGGATTGGAGTGCCTTAAGGGTCAAGAATGGAGAAAGGAAAAAATATTGAGTTGCCATGAAAAGAGACAACTGAACTATTTCCAAAGAAGAAGGAAAGAAGGTTATTTAGTAGAAGGAGTTATACCAACTTGTCCCATATTCCTTGGAAATGTATGGTCGCTTGGTGGTGTGTGTAGTTTTCTTGAGGACCAGAGAAAGAAGTGTTTGTGAAAGGAACACTCAATTTGCTCTTTACATTTGATATTACTTTTTATTTTTCTTCTGTGCTTATTTCCCTTCCTTTTTTCAGGTGAAGTGCTTCTTCTGCATGCTTTTAGCTGAAGGATGCTCTGCATTTCCTTGATTTCTATGGAGAACTTAGAGTCGGGTTTGCCCCTGCTGACATCTCATCTTACATCTTCTCTACCTCCCAGTGTCTTTGCCTCTATCAATAGTTTGCCATTGCCCCTGGGTCCAGGAAGCCTGTGATGAACTTCAGGGGAGAACCTGGAATCCTCCTGATAGACTCTGAATGGCAGTGGCTGGACATGCATCAATTCACATGCTAACATGGGTCAAGCCATCAATAGAGAGCAAGTGCTAAGACAAAAAACCTATTTGCATTTTATTTGAATTTGAAGGACGACGGAGCTTTGGACCTTTCTCATGGCAGAAAAAATATTTTCTGTTCTCTAAGCACAAGTGCTCTCTGTCTGATATGTGCTGCTTTTGAATCTTGCAGCAGCTTCATCCCCACTGCATCCCAGATGTATGTCCAAATTTGAAATCCACCCTAACACAGGTGTTGGAGAGATTCCAACATTTTTAGACTTGGACGTGAGCATATTATGCTGTTTAGCTAGACCAATCAAGCCCTGAAGAGCAACTTCGAATTTGTGGGAAGGAAGAGCATGGGCTGTGCAGCTTTAAAAACAGAAAATGCAAAGTTGGACTGAAAATATCTTTCATCTTCCAAGCAATCTGCTGAAGGGATCCAAACTTACCTTACTTTTGTGAGAAAAGAAGCCGCCCTCCTTTTCTTTCTTCATCAACCACTGGAGCCAGCCATTTCCCCAAACCACCACCATGGAGGTTGCAATGGTGAGTGCGGAAAGCTCAGGGTGCAACAGTCACATGCCTTATGGTTATGCAGCCCAGGCCCGGGCCCGGGAGCGGGAGAGACTTGCACATTCCAGGGCAGCAGCAGCAGCTGCAGTGGCCGCGGCCACAGCTGCAGTGGAAGGAAGTGGGGGTTCTGGAGGGGGCTCCCACCACCACCACCAGTCCCGTGGGGCCTGCAGCTCCCATGATGCCCAGAGCAGCCGGGGTAGTCGGAGGAAGAAGAAACAGCGGCCTGAGAAGAAGAAAGTTCACCACCGGCAGAGCAGCTTTCCTCATTGCTCCGACCTGATGCCCAGTGGCTCTGAGGAAAAGATTCTGAGGGAACTGAGTGAGGAAGAAGAAGAAGAGGATGAGGATGAGGATGAGGAAGAGGAGGGGAGGTTTTACTATAGTGAGGATGACCATGGGGATGAGTGTTCCTACACGGACCTGCTGCCTCAGGACGATGGGGGTGGCTACAGTTCTGTCCGCTACAGTGACTGTTGTGAACGAGTGGTGATCAACGTGTCAGGCCTGCGATTTGAGACCCAGATGAAGACTCTGGCTCAGTTTCCAGAGACTTTGCTGGGGGATCCTGAGAAGAGGACTCAGTACTTTGACCCTTTGCGTAACGAGTATTTCTTTGACAGGAACCGGCCCAGCTTTGATGCCATCTTATACTATTACCAATCAGGAGGTCGCCTGAAGAGGCCTGTCAATGTCCCCTTTGACATCTTCACTGAAGAGGTGAAGTTTTATCAGCTGGGAGAGGAGGCCCTGCTCAAGTTCCGGGAGGATGAGGGCTTTGTGAGAGAGGAGGAGGACAGGGCGTTGCCAGAGAATGAATTTAAGAAGCAGATTTGGCTCCTCTTTGAGTATCCTGAGAGCTCCAGCCCAGCTAGGGCCATAGCCATTGTCTCAGTCCTGGTCATCTTAATCTCCATTGTCATCTTCTGCCTGGAAACCTTGCCTGAGTTTAGGGACGACAGGGATCTCATCATGGCACTGAGTGCAGGCGGGCACGGTGGGCTGTTGAATGACACCTCGGCACCCCACCTGGAGAACTCAGGGCACACAATATTCAATGACCCTTTCTTCATCGTGGAGACAGTTTGCATTGTTTGGTTTTCCTTTGAGTTTGTGGTCCGCTGCTTTGCTTGTCCCAGCCAGGCCCTCTTTTTCAAGAACATCATGAACATCATTGACATTGTCTCCATTTTGCCTTATTTCATCACACTGGGCACCGACTTGGCCCAGCAACAGGGGGGTGGCAATGGGCAGCAGCAGCAGGCCATGTCCTTTGCCATCCTCAGGATCATTCGTCTGGTTCGTGTGTTCCGGATCTTCAAACTCTCCAGGCACTCCAAGGGCCTGCAGATCCTGGGCCACACCCTCCGAGCCAGCATGCGGGAACTAGGCCTCCTGATCTTCTTCCTCTTCATCGGGGTCATCCTGTTTTCCAGTGCTGTGTATTTCGCAGAGGCGGATGAACCGACCACCCATTTCCAAAGTATCCCAGATGCATTTTGGTGGGCTGTGGTGACCATGACAACTGTGGGCTATGGAGACATGAAGCCCATCACTGTAGGGGGCAAGATCGTGGGGTCCCTGTGTGCCATTGCTGGTGTCTTAACCATTGCTTTGCCAGTGCCAGTGATTGTCTCTAACTTTAACTATTTCTACCACAGAGAGACTGAAAACGAGGAACAGACACAGTTGACGCAGAATGCAGTCAGTTGCCCATACCTCCCTTCTAATTTGCTGAAGAAATTTCGGAGCTCTACTTCTTCTTCCCTTGGGGACAAGTCAGAGTATCTAGAGATGGAAGAAGGAGTTAAGGAATCTCTCTGTGCTAAGGAGGAGAAGTGTCAGGGAAAGGGGGATGACAGTGAGACAGATAAAAACAACTGTTCTAATGTGAAGGCTGTGGAGACTGATGTGTGAATCTCTGTCTCCACTCCCTGCCCCAGCCCTGCAGCTCCAGCATCTCCAAATATATTTATGCATAGAGTACAGTTATGAAAATGAAATATGCAAATGAACCCAATGCATATAGTAGTACGCCATTTAATGGTTATACATGGCATAATTGTTACTAAACTTGTATTACATATCAAATAAATGATACATCTTGGAGAAAAAAGGGAGGCTTAAATAGGAGCAAATCTATCTTTATATTTTTTACTAGAATGAAAGAGATTTTGCACATTAATGGGAAAAGATGTTAAAAGTAAAGATGGTTTTATGGAGAGAATGTGAGTGTGTGTGCGTGCGTGTGTGTGGGTTGTATGTGTGTGTAAGTAAATTGTCAACATTGTTAGTAATTGTGAAGTGACAGGAGAAGTTGGCATTTTAAAGTATTTACTATGTAAGACATTATGAATTTGAGCAGTCATTTATCAGTGCTTTAATAACATCTCATATCTTTGGATTCTATAGTTGTTGCTTTTTTAAAAAAAATAATTGTAAGAATTACTGTGTAAAAAAAGTGGATTATTTAATAGAATATAGGTCACAATTTTATCTTGGATTTAATTAAAAGTTTATTTTTAACTGGAAATTAACTTTTAAAAAGGCTGCAGGGGCCTTTAGAAATTGATTATATTTTATTATAATTTTGGGATGATATGACAGCAAATGCTTATTATTATGGAAGAAATGAAATTGGAGAAAATGTAACAAGTTTTGTTCACAGATAACAGGACTGGATTTTTTTTTCTTTTCTTTGCACTACTTGATATGCTGGAGACGGAGAGAGACTTCATACTGTGAATGTTTACTAATGTAACAGTTCAATGACAATCATTGGAAGAATAATTTCTTAGTCTTGTTTTATTGTTTTCTTCTTTTCTTTGTGTGAGACTAATGGTCACGCAGATAACAGCACACTACTCCCTCTTAAAAAACATAAATAACTGGTTAGCAAAGGAACAATGAAGTAAACATTAGCAACTGAATATTTTGAAATGGGTCTGTTACAATGATGTTTCTGAAACCATACTATTTTAAATATTCTTTTGCCTTTTAAATTTATAATGATTGAACCAAAGTTAATGCATGCACTGAAAGAATTCTTGAAGAAATAAGATGCCCCAAAGCAACAGTGATAATGGCCTAACAGCTTTTCTATTAAATGTGCAACATAAATTTTAGATTTATTAAGTTTATTTCTTTGTGTAGCTATATTAGGACAGAGTATGGTGGTTCGCTTTAGAGTATAACATTCTATTTTATAAAATTGATATAAAAAAGAACATGTCAAAACATTTTGTTTCAGTATCACCACCACTATTTAAGAAAAGGATTTCTGACACCAAAATTAACAACAGTGAGGTAATCTAGAATGTGAGGTGTCAGCTAGTGATCGGGCTTGCTCTAGGAAGTTATAATGAGATATAAACTCAGAATAAATAAGAGACTATTCAATAATGTTTTTAACTTATGTTTTTGTAAAAGGTTTTCTTGAGGATAGAAAAAAAATACTATGTTGGGTATCTCAGTGTCTGAATGAAGTCGGAAAACAGTAAACTTGAGAAAAAAATTAAAGACCTAGAATAGCCTTTCCCAAGATTTTTAACCTCAGACCATCATTTGCTATTCATTTAGATCTTATCTGTAGTGATGCTTGAAATTCAAAGCCAATTCACTAATACATGTAAAATTAAAGATACAGTTTTCATACACTCTGCCCCTCATTGAAGAGAAATGCTTTGCTAGAAAACATTTGGAGAATGAAAAGCAGCAACCAGGGAAGTTGAATGTGCAGAACAAAGATCTCTAATGGACATAGTGAGTGAAAAATCTTGTAACAAGTCTTCAAAGATGGGGTTTTAATACATTTTGAGATTAGAGAAAGTCACAACAAATATTAGACTGGGTATAAGGTTAATTGAGTTTGTCACCATTCATTTGTAAGTCCCTTAAACACTCCAGTTTCTTCAATAAAAAGTACATATAAGCATTCATTATGTCAGAGGGTTGTTATGGGAAGCAGGTGAGAACATGTTAACATAGTGCTCAAATATTGAGTTCTATATAAATGCCTGGTTGATATTGTGCCTAATTATTAAGACATTATGAAAATCAAAAAGTTAATATGCAGGCACAAGAGAGATATCATAGAATAATTGCTGAATTTTCTTTTTTGGCTGGAGTAGCTCAGGCATGTCATGATATAAAAAGTTTACTCTTCTGTCAAGGTACAATTTATTTTTTGCTGTATCTAACTAGGTCAGATAATATTAAAATAGTTTAAATGTTCTTCAGCAGTGAACGTTTATTGAACATTCTATAATTACAATAGTAAAAATATGACTATGGTTGCAAAGGAAATGTGTTTCATTGTTTCTATAAGACTGCATTTCTAGACCTTATAAGTTACATCAAATTTAATTGAAATGTACTAGAATTAATAATTCTGAGAATCCAGAAATATTGTCATTGGGGGTCCCACAGTTTGCTTTAATTAATCATGGTTTTCTGTTTTTTTTTAATCTTTTTTGTTTTGTTTTATTTTAGTTTTGGGGCCACATCTAGTAGTGCTCTAGGCTTTCTCATGACTCTGTGCTCAGGGATCACTTCTGAAGGTAGTCAGGGCACCATATGTAATGCCCCAAATCAAACTGTAGTTGGCGATGTGCAAGGCATGTGCCTATAGCTCTCTACTATCTCTCTGGCCCTGTACATGTTTTCTTGTCGGTAAAATTAGTCAGGAAAAGACAATCAAGGGATCCCATACCAAATATGATTAAGTTATTAAATTTTTTCCCTGCAAAATGCGTTTAGTTTATGACTCTGCATCATGATTCCACACTGAGAAGGATGCACAGAAGCCCTCAAGACGTGTATATGGGGCAGTCTTTACAGAACACTTCACTTGAAGGAAATGTTTGGAAGTAAATTTTTCAGTGTGGCTCTGGATTTATAGCTTTTTTATGAGTTAAAGCTAGGCAGTGTTTTTGAAAGTTGTGTACTATTTAGAACCATTTTTGAAAGTTGTGTACTACTAGAGGCATTTGTACATGATTTAAGAAACTTATTTTAGGTTCTGCTAAGCAGATTTTGATGAGAAGATAAGATAGGTGGCCTTATTTAGTGGTTTGTGTTCTTAGAGGATACTCTAACTGCTTCTTAGATGATAATAATTTTAAATGTTATCAAAATTACAACATTTCAGGGTCACCCTAATCAGAGTCTTTATGGTGGATGCATTGTTTTCTCTTGAAAATGCTTGAAAAGGAAATAGTTATGCATAAAAGTTACAGAGAAGAGATAAAAATAAATATTCCTTTAAATTTCTATGGAAGGGAGTGAGTGGGTGCCAGAGGAATTACAGCTGGTTAGGAGTCAAGACAGCTGTATTGTTGACCTCCTTGATTCTCAGTGTTTTTTTTTTATTATTAATGTTAAATGGACTACTGACTACATTATAAGTCGATTACTTTACATGCCAACTCTAATGCAGAGTTAGGAGAGTATTGGCAATATCAGACTACCTTTCAGTTAACAGACAAAAACCAGATTAGCTTACGATGTTCTGAATGCAGGTTTTTCACACTATTTAAAGGCAGAGAATCTCTAGGAAACCCTCCCAAAATGTAGTGGCATGTTCTGAAGAAGAAAATATCATTAATTTATATATGAACACACTTTTGTGTGTGTGTTTCCAGCTCCCCTACATTACCTAACAAATCATACCCAATAACATACAAAACAGAAGAACAGTAACATATTGAGAAAGTAGTAGGGCTATGAAAAGTATATAGCCTGTAGAAAATGGTCCCCAGGGAAGGAGCAAGTAGAAGACGTGGAAAAAGTAAGTAGGTCCACACTTGCTATTGGGGGTGCACTGTCTTAGAACAGCTTTGTGGAACTATACAGAGGAGTTTTTTTTTCAGTTTTGCTTCATTGTACAAGCAAAAATCTTTTGCATATCTCTTTTAGCTAGCAAAGATGGACACAATAACAAACAAAAAACCCAGTACAAATATAGATATTTCCTAAAAGCAAAGTGGTGGAACTAGAGCTTTTGAAATGTGGAGGAGATGTGTACCCCAAAGTCATATCAGCTTTTAGAGTTAAGTAATAAGAACAAAATAGTTTAAAGCCTTACTGTTAGGTTAAATACAGAGTTTAGGAGTTTGAGTTTCTAGAATGAAAGGAGGTATTTTGAAGCTATTTATTCAAACAACTACTAAAGAGAAGGCATTCACTTAAAAAATAACTCCTCAGTTTCCAGTTGAATACATATGGTGAAAGTTGGTAAGTAAACATTTTGATTTCTTGCTTTGTTATAGTACAGTTTTGTCAGTAAACAGAGTGTTCCGACCTGTGCTGGGGAACTCATTTTATGCTTAGACACATGTAGGATTTCACAAGTGCTACTGCTTTCCTTGTCAAATTTGTTTTAAGTAAAATTGCCGAAGCTTTGTGAAAATCTTTTTATTAAGCATGTGTTGAAATAGAATGCAGTATATGAGTAAGAAATATTTAAGGGAAATATTCTCATTTAACACACACAGATGTGTGTGTGTGTGTGTGTGTGTGTGTGTGTATACACACATAGTATTTTAGAAAGTGCAATTTAACCAGTGAACCACATTTTTAACCATATTGCCAAACACAGTAACAACAAGTCTCAAAATGGAAATGTTACTGGGCCCGCTCAAGCAAATCAATGAACAATGAGAGGACGGTGACAGAGACAGGAATCATAAACATTAATACCTCCCTCTCCGCAAATAATTGGGAATGATGTTCATTGTTGATTTTTCAGGATAGTAATGTTTTAAATCTATTCTTAGATAAAGTGGAAACTAGATTCAGATGACCATTTTAAAATGAACATGTAGTTATGTACTCAATCGCTGGATGAAACAGAACATAATTTCCATCCTTGTATGGTTTTTTTTTTCTTTTGAATGAATACAGTTTAGAATCATTACAGTTGCCATTCAGTGACAAAGAGGCTATTCTAGGAAATGTTCCTGACACAAAAGTCAATCTGAATTCTGCAGGGGATACATGGTATGGACAAAAGGTAACTCTTCATTTTTCTGCCTGGAAAAAAGACTTGACTTAAAGCACAGGCTCTTCTAGATCAATGTGATCACTGCAGGTGAGACCTGCTTTCTAGTATGATTTCAGTATTCCTGTTTGAGAGAAGATCGCTGAGTGGTCTGTGTTGAAGATTGAAGGAGCAAAGCTATTTTTGTAATAAACAGGATCATGCACTTCTAAAATGTAAATTAAGAATAGGACTGTGATAGGAGTTTTATTTCTGACTCAGTTTTCTGTTTCCATAGCAGTCCCCAATTTCTTACAGTATCTTCTTCATAAAAAGTATGCTAATACATATCAGACCATATGGCCCAATTTAAAGTTCAGAAAATTTGGTTACTTTATTTATGGGTAAATAAATTTATCCTAGAGAATAAGATGAGTGCTTTGAAAAACATAGCACATATTTGATGTTCTTGATTCTTAGTGAGACTCTAGCCTCCCCACTTTTCAGCCTGATGGGTAATAATGCTAAATGAGACCAGAATAGAAGTATTAGGCAAATATGTGCTAAGTGAGGAACTTTGCTGTCATTTAGGAAAATTTATTTCCACATTTTCTAGTTAGGGTGCTGCTGATTTTAGTTATTTTTGTTTGTATTGTTTTTGTAGTGAAGTTTTTTCTTTTCTGCTTCTTTTTTTTTAATGTCTGCTGTCATTTGGTATCTTGAAGGGGATTTTGTATGCAAAGAACCACAATCTAAATAACTGCCAATTGACCCATTGTCAACTCCTGCATCTCAGCCACAAATTGTATGTTTTCTTGACTAT